TAGCATCATGCACCAGTTAGCCTAACAACAAGTCTTGCTAAACTAGCGCAAAATGCGGGGAGCATACACGTACACGCGCTGTGCAAACTGCATAAGAGATTCGAATTTAACTAACCAAAAAAAAAAAAGGCGTTGACAAACGCGCGTGCAAAGTGCCATTTGTTTTAGATACTAACATTAATCGAGTTACAGGCTGCGGACGGCGGCACGCGTACAGCGCACGGGAAGCTACACTTGCAGCACGCTCTTTTCTGATTCGTCAGTTCGTTAGTGCAGCCACCTGTGGGATGTTCTTCGCTCGCGAAAGGACTGTTCGTCACTGCAGCCGCCTGTGTGATGTTCATGCGAAAACGGTTCGCTCTTCATCTCTTTCTATTGCAGCGATAGGCTCTTCAGACCACTGAAAATGGCGTCCTATGTAGTAGTGGTTGTTGATGTTGTAATGCCTATGTTGCGATATTGGCAACTGCTTGAAAAAAGACTGCCTGTCGTTCTCGAGAGTCGAACCTCGGTCCAGTGCGTGTAAAGCGGGCGCGTTACCACTGAGCTATATATACACCCGCCGGCAATATAAAGGTGAACACCTTACCTGGTTTCTTGCCTGTTTTACGGCTCCCTAAAGCTATATTAACTCTCGGCATCTCAGATGGTACGTGGCTTGGGGGTCTAAACTTTGCGTTCTAGCCCTCTTCTGGAACAGAGCTTGTTCCAAAACTTGCAGGAGCGTCAAAAACAAGAAGAGGGCTGTTCACCTTCATATCGCTCACGGGTGTACACCACAGGACTGGCAGAGTTTTCGTAAAACAAACTGTAATTTTTTTTTTTCGTTTGTAATGTACGGTAGAGGTTTAACTGGAGCTAGTGTACTGGCCTTGTCTTTTATAGGTGGTCTTGGCTGGGAAGGAACCTGTATTCTTGCGCTATCGTATATGTCATCGACTGTTGACCATTCCAGTAAACTGCCTCTTGAAGCGAGAGCATGCGCGCGCTCTCGTACACATTGAAACATCGCCGTTTCAACACTGACACGCGTTTTGCGTAACTACCTGCGCCATCTTGCATTCTAGTATACTGTCGCACTACGGCACTGCCACGCTCTTGTACTGTCACACTATTGTGCATCGACGTTGTACCAGAATATTCGCAAACTTTTAAACGAGTGTCATGTTGCTGCTTTTTTGTTATTTTTATTTTTTATAGTTTTAGAGTAGGGGACCCCAATGCTTTGGATCTCTCAATTGGAGCTTGGTGCTTTGCAATGCCCGTGCGCAAAGTTCTGCGCATACACATTGCGACGCCCTAATTTTATCGGGGGACCCAAAGCCTTGGGGCACCCTATTCTAAAACTCTAATTGAAAAAAAAAAAAAACACCCAAAGAAGTTTAAAAAAAAAAAGATAGTGGGCTAAGGTTTGTTACATTGCCGTAATTACCACCACTGTGTCATGATATATGGAGGCCCCGTGACACTAAAGCGACTCCGGCACGTGCCCAGAAAACAATGTGCGTCGAGAATAACATTAAAAAAAAAAAGAAAGAAAGAAAAAAGAAAAAAGAAAAGCACACATTGTTGGTTTTTCTTAAACTTTGAGGTTCGCTAAAACGCCAAACCGTTTCAGGTCACGGGGAGCATTTATTTCCTGTTTTTGTTTTTTTTTGTTTAAACCGGAAAGTTGCGTAACTGTCGAGGCGACACAACCGCGGGGCCTAGGACAACGACAACCTTCCCTTTCGGCTTCACCAGAGGCGTATGCATGCCAAGGTTAAACGTGCGAATGCAAAAAAAAAAAAAAAAAAAAAGAGAGGAGTAAAAAAAAAAGAACGACGAAAAGAACGACGCTCCGCAACCAACGGCACCAGCAAAACATATTAACTCGCCGACCTTGCTGTCCAGATGTAAATTATAGAGTCATTATAACAGCCTCCGCTTCAGAGTAACGACGTTTCAGCCATCTTGCCGCTTAAAATCATGGTTGCCAGCTAACCGTAGCCTTATCGCAAATCGCAGAAAACGTTTTTCCGTCTCGCAGAAATGTTAGAACAGTCCGTGATCAGATCAAACGGATATCGGCTGAGCTTCCCGAAACCGTGCATAAAGCTCAGGTCGTAACGATCGCCAAAAGTCCCTTTTCAAAAGCGCATGTCATCAAGTAGCTGCTGCTCCAATTAGCCGAGTCCGCCATTGTTTGGGGCGTACTGAGCCTCTGAGTGGGTACGGGGGCTGCGTCAGCGTTCGTCGAGAACTCGGATCCAATCACACGCTTCGCAACCAAAAAATGGCGACCGACAATGTTGCTTGATGCACTTTTGGAAAAGGTCGATTAAGTCCGGTCTGCCCTTAGCACCGAGATTGGTTCACAAGGGTGCCGATACGCTAATAATCGCGTAGCTTTTAGCGTTCTTTAATGCACGCCATGGCGGTACTAAAAACCACTTTAAACTGGTCCAGCGCCATGTTTCGCCTGTCGTCTGCTAACAACAAAAAAGCGCACGTCTTACATTTTTTTTTCTTTTTTTAGTTTTTTATGTAGCGGGTCAAATTAAACCGTCGAGCGTCCCGAATTGATCTTATTCTCCATGCCAACCGAGTTTAATAGCGTAGCAGAGAGTGCCGTGACTCGAAAGCTGAACCGTAGTAAAGCACGCCATTGTGCAGACGGCGCTTTCGGCGAAGTAGACAGAAGCAGGAACTATACACAACAAGCCTCCTTCAGCTGCTTCTCCTGGTCGTCATTGTTGTATTATTTCTTACGATTATAGCGATGTCACACACAAGATATGTGGGCACGGACCGCCGAGGTGTACTGGTAGTTTCCATATGGTGCTGGTGGTCGCTGTGTTTGTTTGTTTGTTCTGCGTTTACTTTATGAGGGCCATCAGCGGTCGGGCGGTCGACGGATGAAATGACCGTACACGCGCGGGTCGATACGGAAGGAGCGCCGAGGAAGAACGAAGCGTTCATTTATCTCGGTGAGGTCTTCGATCATCGTCTTGTACGTAACATCGAGTGCGGTCATCTTTTCCTGCGTGCCTCCGCCATGATGGCAATTGAGAACGTTTACGAACACAAACGAAGGGATAAAAGCCAATCTATCATACAAGGGGTGTCTTTTGATTGTGGCTTCAAAGATCCCAGTCTAGCGGTCGTACTGCACTGGCTAAATTTCGCGTCTACAGCGGGGACATACGGAGTCTGATGGCTCCGTTCCAGGACCATGCAACATTATTAGTTATGACATGTGAAACTGTCACGGCTTATAGACATAGCTTGCATGTGACGTCATTCGTGGCCATGCCAATATTTGAGGCGCCGCGAGCGTTCGGTTCGCGGTGTTAGGTTCACACCGCAGAAACAAAGTTGTAGTTGGAGGAAACCGGTAAGTAGAAATAACCCTCAGTACCCAGCAATGGCGACACTTGCAAGCTGTGTATAGGGGGCGCTCTAGTTTCTATCATAATGGCTGCCATCTGGATGATCGTCGTAGAACAACAGGTCGAGGTTGAGTCTCCGTCGCGTAAACAATTCTAATTTTGTAAAGCACGAGCGAGATAAGAAGCGTTCGTTCGTGATTCTTTTACGTCAGGAAGGGTAGCAAGTACCTTCATTCGGAAGCCGATCATCCAGAAGCCAGGGGAGCGCCATACTCACGTCGCGGTACCGCCATCGCAGGAAGTTACGAATATTTATCAAAGGGACCACGAAATGAGTTTTCAAGTTCTTTCTCCTTAGCTGTAATCCTCGACTCAAAAGCGAAATGAGAAATCACATGGTCATGACGTGCTTTGGCACCGGAGGTGATGACTCCAAGCTTCCAGCGTGCTTTCTAAGAACACCACAGAACTTGTCATCTGCAAGTGATGATAAGTTCCGCCAGGGCACTCACTGGCCACGAGCGCGAATTCAATTATTCGCCGACGGATTGATCGTTGACGAGCGCGTACGCCCGAGTTATGCAGTGCTCGTGTTCAATGCGTAAGCCGGGTTCGGCTGGAGTGCTTGCGTACTGCGGATGCATCACAGTGAAAAAGCGGAGAGCTTTCGGAGGAAATGAGGTACGAAATAGTCCACTATATTTGCAAATTTTCGTATCGAACCGCACGCTTTTAGCTTTCTACGCCCGTGTACTAGTTTTATTTTGGCGTACTAAACTATACACGATTAGTAAAATCCCTATTTATCCCAACCGAAAAAACATTTATGGCCCCTTTAATAGAAAAAAAAAAAAGAGTCTGTGGAAAAATGATAGTTGCGTAACCTTAGGCACTAGTAAAAAAGCTACAGTATTTTATTTTCTTCGACTTTTTGCTTGGAGACTGAGCGGACTCGGAACAAACAATCTTTTGATTTTAAGAGGTAGAACACCTTGCGTACAGCCGTCCACTGGAGCAGACTACATTCACGGTTTCTAAACATCATTATTTATGATATTTTTACTGACAAATAAAAGGAGATCAATGTTGCAGAACTTCAGGCAGTGATATAAAGGAGCCTTCTACTTCATTCTTCTTCTTTTCTTTTTTAGAAACTGTGAGGCTCTTATCGACGTCTGCTTGGAAAAAGAGCGGACAGCTTTATGATCGGAAGAGTGTAAACAACCGCGCTATTCACGCGCAGTCAACCCGGCTCGCAAGTTGTCCATGCTCTCTTTGGCACTTCAATCCGGTACCCGTCACAAGAGCCTGAAAAAGAAAGGTTGAGAACGCTGAAGCCATGAATGCAAACGAAGACAAACAATAACGATGCACTTGTACGATTTGTTCGCTACGAAACCGGAAACTACTTTTCAATGCCTTTAGAGCGACGGAATCTGGCATTCCGGCACAGCAGACGACGAATCAAAGCGCACCCACCGCAGCGACGCGATTGGCTCGCGCGAAGTCGCGAGAGGAAGGAGGAGAGCAAACGCGGCGCAATCAAGGCTTGTCCATACTCTCACCTTCAACGAAAGCGCTCCGCTCGCTTCTGCTGCAGGAACGCAGGAACTCCGATTTTCCAGTCACGTGCCCGTCGAAGATGGCGGGCGGCACGCGAGACGGTTCGTTACGGTTCCGCCAAAAGAGCACCAACGGCGTGCACAACTCCGCGTGGAACGGCGTCGTCGAAGACGGAACCCCTTTACAGAACGATCAACGACAAAACCGAATGCGAGCCAACCGGCTAGGAGGCGCCTTCTACGCGTGCACGCTCGCACTCTACCTCGCCGCAGCGATCGTCGTCGACCGCTGCGAGAACTCGCTCCCGGATGTTGTGGGGTCCGTGCCCGGCGTCCTGAACGACGGGCGAACTTTCGTCGGATCCCGGGCTCGGAGTCGACTCGCCGAACTCGTCTCGCTAGGCCCGCGATCGGTGGGAAGCTACGAGAACGAAGTGGCCGCCGTGGATTACCTTCTCAAGCAGCTGGAACACATCAGGGATCGGGCGCGTCCCGCGCACCGCATCGAACTCGCCGTCCAGCGACCCAACGGTTCCTTCTTCCTGGGGTTCATCGACGGGTTCACGTCCACGTACCGGAACATTCAGAACGTGATTGCGCGCATCGCGCCGCGGGAATCGCAGCCGGCGGCCGATAAAAGGCATTCCTTGCTCGTCAACTGTCATTTCGACACGGCACCGGGAAGCCCGGGTGAGTTTTTCGGGACCCCTCCTTCCGTCATCTTGTACGTACTACCGCCCCGCTCGTCTAGCTTTTCTTTCTCGTCTATTTATTATCGATTTGTTTTCTTTGAGTCGCCCTCTTGTGCGTAATCTTAGGTCTTTTGTTGCGCGGTATGCGGTGTCCGGCGTTGTGTTTTCGATGCGCGGCGCTTCGTTTCCAGCGCGCGGAGGAAGCGCGATTGAAAACCGAAACTGCCGCCGTTTGCTGCAAAGAGCTCTCTATTTGTTTTTCTATATTTTCTTTTACTCTCATCGCGGAGGCACTAGCGTGGGCAGAAGGGAAAGGCACAAAAGAAGTTTGCCTTGAGGGCCTCCACAAACGCGAATTTGAAGGGCGATTTTGGACGGCTGTTTTCCTCTTTTCTCTTTTCCTCCGCGGTCGTCTGCTCTTCGTTTCTGCGTTTGTCGTCTGCTACGATGAACGCGAACCATTCCTCATCTCGCTTCACTTTACCAGCGCGCGCGCGTTTTCCGATTCTGAAATTCGTTGTATTAAATGGGACGTTGAACTCTGGCCCGGTTAGGCCATTAATAATACGGTCCCTTTGTTAATCACTGCAGCAGCCTATTGTACATTTTTATATAAAAACTGCGGGCACGCGTTTCTGCTTTCTTTTTGTTGCTGTGTTGCACCTGCAATTTGATCTGGCGTTCCGTTCGAAAAGCAGCTGGCATGGCCCGTGCGGTTGAAAATGGGTGCGACCATTTCTTCACAAAGACCGTAGTTCAATTTTAAAATTACAAAGAAAAAAACACACACACACGGGATTAAACGGAACGCAAACGTTTTTTCGTCACTAGCAGCCACCAACACGCCGTCGGCAGTTTGTTTTTGTGTTGAACTCTTTTAGCATCTTTTTTAATCTTCCCAATTTTCAGTTCTGCCTAGTTGCATTCCCCTGCTTTGGTTACTAATGACGTGACAAACGGGAGAGTATGCAGAGTCTACCCTATAAATTAGTCTTCATAACCATATATGTGGGAGGCTATGTCATAAAAGATGTTATTATATCATAGTACATTTGAGCGCTACGTTTACTGGTTGCTCATTCTTGCAGTATCTGAGAAGTGTAATCACTTGGTAAGTCGTCCAATCATTGATTTTTTTTTTCAAGTTTGTAACGATCTGTTTTTCATATCATATGATGCACGTGTCCGAAATCGTTATCACAATATAATTATTACCGTAGAAAACGTAAACGAGAGATGGAAAAAAAAAAAAAAAAAAACGCACAGGAATAACAGCGTTTAAAAGCAGGAAGAAAAACTTTTACAAGTTGATAATAGCCTATTAGAGGAACGCATACTTCATTTCTTCTCAAGTGTAGCACTAAATCATTATTATCAAAGAGAAAATCACACTTTTGAAAAGACAGAACACGGGAGACAAATAAGGTCTCCTTTTTTCTCTCTTTCGCTCTGTGTTTATTGTACCGCACAGTGGATAACTGGGCCGAGTTGGTTTCGTATTCAAATTGAAACAGCGCCTCTGGACAAGCGGACGAAACGAGAAACTGGATACCGTCCTAGTCTATCATGATGAACGTTCACCAACTCGCTCGCGCTTTGTGTGTTTGTTTTTCTCTCCCTCCCTCACTAGATTATGGTGCGCAAACGCCACGTATTCTAACCTTTTTTTCGGCTTTGAGTAGCGTATTTACTCAGAAGGACGAACGCTGTGAGCCCGAAATCAGAGGACAGTGTGGAGAAGTATTACCACATAAAAAATCCGTCTTATGTTTTTTTTTTTTTTTTTTTTTTTTTCTCGCTGTTTTTGTAACGAATGTATAGACCTTTTCCACAAGGGCGCCGCCATCTTGAATTGTCGTCACTTCCAGTATGGGCGACGCAAAAAAAGTAAAACGTTTCAACCTGTAACTAGTAAAAAAATAGAGGCGAGCCAAAACGAGAATGTGTGACGGTCAGGCTTATATCCTAAATGTCTTCTATTGGCGTGGCAACGGCAAAGTTACGTTTTCGCCCATACTGGAAGTGACGTCATTTCAAGATGGCGGCGCCCTTGTGGAAAAGGTCTATAGACGGCTCAGAACTTCGGGATTACTTCGAGAGCTGTGATGCCACCACACGTGACAAATTAAACGAAAGCGAGTGCAGTCCCAACCCCTTCCTAGATGACAAAGCCACAGTGTTCGATATTTCTACGTCACTTATTGAAGAGCAGCTCTGTTATACAACTAGAAGTGGTTTCCGAAAACCCTATTCTCAAGAAACAGTTTAGCCGAAAATATATATATATATATTTTTAAATGTATATTTAGGCCCTCATTGATCCTGTTTCAGTAAAGGAACTCGGCGAGCAATATCTTGTCCGTGTCCCTTTCACGATGAAGTGAAATAAACTTGCCAGATGCTCCATGCGATCATTACGGGCCCATTGTAGCGTGTTATAAAAAAAAACTCGCATTTCTTTATTTAATCGCTCTCAACGTCTAGCGTTTGAAGGTATGTCGTTATAAACAGGCGTGCCTCCATTTTTTCGCGTGCACGCAACTTTTTTTTTTTTTTTTGAAGGGGGGGGGGGGGGGGTGGGGGGAGGAAGTATTTGTTTTGCGTGTTTTGTACTTTGTGAGTACTTAACGCGAAGGTTTAAGAGCACGACGTCACCTATAGATCAAAAGATAAAGTAAGAAGAAGGAATGTCTCTGTGAGCCGTCGTCCACCTAAGCCTAATATCGTCTAAGAAGAAATGACATTGCGGGCACCTTTATAATTCATTTCTGAACAAAAAAAAAAAGTGCTTATTAGCGCGAAAGAATGCCACATCCGTGCACAACATCAGTTCTAGCGTCGAACCGCTAGCGTCACCTTCTCACGGAGTTTCAGCTTCGTGCACGCGACCACACAATTTTGCAAACTGAAAAACACGATTTTTTTTTTTTTTTTCTAAAACAACAACAACAACACTTGGTATAAGGCTTGCGTCGTCAGGGAGAATTTCGTCCTCTTTGCGGCCATTTCGCCGCTGGGAAAGATGGAAGACTGCACGGCTTCGATTGCACCATTTAATTGTTAATACGCCTACAAAAAAACAAAACAAAACAAAAAAACGTATAGTACGAGTTGTTTTTTTTACACGATGAAAGCGAGCGTTGGGAATGGCCCTATATTTCGGCCGTTCTAAAGTGTCGCGCCTCGCGCCTTCGGTTCCGTCCCGAACAAGCCGTTCAATCCGTCTCTGGATCAGCGGCGACGGGTCGCGGCGTTCCTATTGTGCTATGAAGACGGATGGGCCGTGCGGTGGTGAGCCCAGCTGCGCGCGAATAATCCATGCGACATGGCGTCTACTACCCGTACCATCGCGTGGATTACACGCCCGAAGCTCTCCGCCAGTGCGGGGAGGAATGATGACGGAGAGGGCCACCGCCGGTGTCATGATCCGCCGGAGAGAATGGGCCACGATCGGGGCCGCGCTTCATTTATTCTCGATTCCGCGAAGTTCCCGGATTAGCTTGACGGCACCGCAGTTATGTGTCGGTATGTGGAGATTTGGCGTGGTGGCCGCCACGTTGAATTTTGACTCGAGTTGGACCAAAATAAGCAAATCCATTTGTTGGAAGACGCTTAGGCCTAACGTTGTAGTTAGGCCTAAATACTATTTTTCTTGCCGCTCAGCCCTACTACGTCATATTTCAAGGTGGCAATCGTGACATGAAAGTGGTCTAGGTATATGGAGATGATTTGAGGGAGAGGAGGACACGAGAGCCTTGTAATGACGTCGGTGCGACGAGCTCTGATGGGAGAGATTAGTGGGTGCGACGCAGAGGCAGCTTAGCTGCCTTTGCGCTGAAGTCGGAGTAGAGCAGTTGTGCCGTATTCTGAACTGTCCATTCATTAGCATTCTTACTCGAGCGTTTATAAATTTACAACGTACATAGAGTGACAGATGTTTCAGACTGTGGTGTGGGAGGCGGGGGCTTGGAGCTGAGCCGGCAGACAACACGAGAGGATTGACACGTGCGAATGAAACGTGTAGAGAAAATGTGGCTACCAATGGTATACGATTTCTGATTACTAACTTCGTTTTCATATAAGAGCTTTGACTAGTGTCGTCGCCGCGAAATTCGTCTGTATTTGGTGACCAGATGTCTTTGCAGAATTAAGTGAATGGTCGACCTATTTCTGTATCTATAATTATAAAAAAAAAGCAGCTTATTTGAGATTTTTATTTTTATTGTGAGAGAGAGTTTGTTATTACTTCGTCGTCTGCATTGCAATGCGAGGTTACAGTGCTCTGAATGATTTACTTTGACTTTTGTTTCCGTAAAGTTTTAGAGCGCAGCTCTTGGGGGCCCGTTTCCGGCTTGAGCGGCGTCGCTGTCGGCGTAACCGCGAGGTCACGTGCCCCCCCCCCCCCAGGTCACGGACCCTCCAAGTCACGTGACCCCACCTCATGTCACGTGACCCCTCAGGTGACGGACCCCCTTGACGTCAGACGACCCTTCCGGACGTCACGTGACCTCAAGGAGTCACCTATCCCTCCGTACCCTTCCATCCTCCTCAAGAGCTTTCATTTTTTGCCACCACTTTACTCACAAATAAAAAAAAAAACAAAAAAAACGTAAATATAGATGTGAATGATTTAATTGATTGCCACGAGGCCAGATAATGTTGTGTGCATAACAAAAAAAAAAAAAAAAAAAAAAAAAAAACTTAAGGGACGCTTCTTTCGAAAGAGTGGAACGCGATAGCGTTATCGGGTCCCGTTCGCCATGCCTTCTCATATAGACCCGCGCTCGTTCCCAAGCCGGGCAGGATGTGTGCGTGGTGTAGTTGGTAGCGTCACGTGATGTCACACGTGGCCTTGACGTCATGACCATATCGACCCTCTAAATTTGGTAGGAAAATGTTCGGCTAGATTTGGCGGGGAAATTTGGTGGGAAATGTTTCCGCTAAATTTGGCTGAAAAAAAATGTACCGCTAAATTTGGCGGGAAAGTTTTTCCACCAAGTTTAGCGGATAAATCCCATGATGCAACGCGCGCAGTGACGTGTGACACACGTGGTTACGCGTGTTGCATTATGAAAAAAATTTTTTTTGGTCCCGCCGACGCCGGATTTTTCGCGGGTGCTCAAACAAAAAGAAAATGACCAGCAGACAACTCTCCTTGACATGAGGAGTATTCTGCGCTAAAGCCCGTTGTAAACGGAAAGGTAACGCCGTTCCCCCGGTCCCAGTCTCTCTTTAGAGAGTTTTCGTAGATCGTTTTCGTCGTCCCGCAACGGCTCTCCGCAACCCGCCACAAAATACCCGGAACTCTGCAGTCAAGGCCATCGGCGCGCTGGCCCAGCAGCGGCTTCTTCGTTGCGGGAGGGCTTAGCGCAAGGGGAAACTGGGTCTACGAAAACTCTCTCTGTGGCTTCAGGACGCACCCTTTTGCTTACACGCACACGCACACGCACGCACGGACGCACACACACGCACGCACACACGCACACACACACACACAGCGCTTGCGCTTGCGCCCGCGCTTGCGCCCGCGGGACTCCGTGATTAGCCGACGCACTTCCTTCTCCTTCTCCCAGCGTCTCTCTCTCTCTCTCTTTGGCTGTACGACGCCATTTTTGAGCGAAGGCGATGAGGAACATTTTGAGCAATGAATCACGTTACCGTTAAATTGAAGGCGGTATTCTTTCAAAATCGTTACAAATTTGTTTAAAAGAAAATACAATATTTAGGGGGTTAACGATTACGAAAAGTCTAAGAACGAAAAAAAAAATTCGATAATCAAATTTTTTTAATTAGTGGCTTCAAGTAGAAACTTGCTGGGCGTGATCTAATGCCACTAAATCAGTGAATCGTAGAAAAGACTCGATGCGCATGGGAAGCGCTGAAGTCACCATTCGTGCGTCAGATCATCCCCGTTTTTGCATCGACAGCCTTGCGTTTGTTGCACGAGTGGTGATTTTAGTGCAGCACCGCGCTCCCCGAGGGCTCCACACTTTTCTATAGTCGACTGATTTTGGGGGCCTTCGATGACGCCAAGCGAGTTTCGTATCGAAACCATATATGTTAATTTTTATTAATAAAAAAAAAGTTATATAATGAACCTATTTCGGTTCATTATTTTACATATTGGGTAAAGTATGTCCACTATATTATGCCCCTCTGGAAAGCTGAGCTGGCACACAACGTGAAAGAATTGACACATGGAAATGAAATATGTTGGTCAAATGTGGCTACCAATGGTTACTAACTTCGTTTTTTCATAAGAGCTTTGATTAGTGTCGTTGCCGCAAAATTCGTGAGCATTTGGTTACCAGATACCTTTGCAGAATTGAGTCAATACCTGTGCGCAACCTATAACCTTAACTGCACAGACCGGATTAGTGTAGGTTTCACGTTGTTTTTTTGTTTTTTTTTTTCTAAAAACAATCTGAAATATATTCATATATACATAGTTTCTGGCTTTGTCCTTACAGTTAGTGGTTACAAGAGGCCGAAGTAAATGACATTGTTTGTCGCCCCCCCCCCCCCCCCCCCCCCCCCCACGCACACACACATGCACACACACTAATCCATATTGCGTGGAGCACCTCTATTGTTTCTGCGCTGTGGATTGACGGAAGCGTGCTGTCCTTACAGTTAGTGGTTGCAAGAGGCCCAAATAAATTACATTGTTTGTCCCCCCCCCCCCCCCTCCACGCACACACGCTAATCCATAATACATGGAGCACCTCTATTGTTTCTGAACTGTGGATTAACGGAAGCGTGCTGGCTCATCCCCAGGGGCCAGCGACGATGCGATCAACTGTGCCATCATGCTGGAAATCCTGCAAGTTTTGTCGCAGCGGCCGGACGCCCTACGGCACCCCGTCATTTTCCTGTTCAACGGTGCGGAGGAAAACATTCTCCAGGTGGGTTCTTCTTTAATGAAGCTGGGAAAGGGAGGCCGGGAAAGGACAACACGCCCCCGGCGAACTGTTGTTCCCTCACCCGGAAAGTGCGAAAGGTTCGACGAGATTCGTGTAATGCTCGCGAACTTGTTGAGTCGACTCATGCGACAAACTGCGAACCAGACCCGCAAGCAACTTACCAAATACCCAAAAACCAAAAAAAAAACCAAAAAAAAAAAAAAAACGCTATTATTTTTTTTTAAAGAAAAAAAGATTTACACGTTTTCCACTTGCATGTAGCGATGATGGTCCGGACCAGACGGCAAAGTTTCGAACCTAACCGCTTTTTTGTTGTTGTTGCTTTTCGAGTGTTCTTTTTGTTTACGTAGATTCGGTGTTTTTCGGTATTTAATTTTGGTGCCGTACGAGAAATCGGGATTTATCGGGGCTCATATTGAAGCATGATATTCCCTAAATGAAATTTCGCATAACATTCCCTAAATTCTATGGAAAACGTTTTCCGAGTACAGGGAAAATGTCCCTCTATCGATAAGAAAATGAAACGAGATAAGATGTCAGAACGAAAGTTTAGGGCGCAAACGAGCTGGTTTTACATTTGACTAAAAACTTCGAGACTGCGAAGAGAAGGGACAGACAAACACAAGGTCTCAAACACAGCTGAAATTTATTGGACGACGAAAGGGGTTTATATAGGCATTAAATCCTACACAAAATACTAGAGGTGAGAGAAAGAGAGAGAGAGTGTTTTGTATATATTGATTTGATGCCTATATAAGGCCTTTTATTGTTGTCGAATCAATTTCGGCTGTGCTTGATACCTTAGGTTTGTCCGTCTCTTCTTGTTCCAGCCTCGGGGTTTTTAGTCAAATGTATAAGCTGTGTGGTTCTGAAGCAAGTTCACTGGAGGCTGTTCCACTTCTGGTTCGACAGAAAAAAAAGCTGTACACAAAGATTCCCTTCCCGTGAAGCGTTACCTTTTTCTTATTTAAAGGCAGCTCTAATTCGCCTTTTTTTTTTTTTTTTTTTCTGGTTTTCCCGATTTTGTGTAAACCGGCTCGGGGATTAATTTTTTCGGGGTTTATCGGTATTTATCGGAAACACGGAACCCTAGTTGTAAGCGATATTCTGAGAGTTTCAATGAAAAAAATTAGGACTTTTACCGGTAGCCGGTGCCGTTTATCTCTTCATGTATTTCGTCAAACCACAAACTTTACAACAACAACAAAAAAAAAAAAAAAAAAGCTATTATTTTTGATTTAGATAATTGAAAGTTCTGTAACTTCGGCGTCCGGTACGAACTGCCAGCACTGCATGTGGACGGAGACTGAAGCTTTCGGCGATACGTAGTTTACCTTAATTTATTCTTCCGGTAAAAAAAAATAAAATAAAGTAGTGACGATACATATTCTGCAAGCGTTAGGGTTTGAGAGGTATTCTTCAGGACAAGGCTCTCGCAATCGGTGCTTGAGAAAGTTAACGTTTAATCGTGTTTTACGTTTCAAATCTTTCCTAATTCGTTTTAAAACATGCGCGTCCGAACTTCTGCAGGCAAGATTCGTACTTCCGGCAAGCTCGCAGCGTTCGTATCGACCCACGGGGCATCCGAGAAGCTCGAAACTCGTACTTGCGGACCTCGAACCTGTAAGGAAGAAGTTCGACATCTGCGAACTTTTGAACTCGCGAGGTTTCGAACGCGTGCTTTAGTGGCGGACATTTGTCGCGGACGACGAGCCATCGCTGCTCATCCGCGTAAACAATGCGCCCGGCCGAGAAGTGTGTCGCCGTCGTCGTGCGAGCAGCGGACTGGATCAGCGAAGGGCAGCTGTGCGTTGTCACCATCGAGCGTGCATCGGTATAGCGCAAACAATGGGGTCGATACTTGTTGGAGTAGCTGTCGGAGGACCTTCCTGCATCCGCTCCATGGGGGGAAAACGAGGTCGTCATTTATCTAATGATAGTCGTCAACCGTCCCTTTAGCGATGACGGGCCCCTTCTGTTTGACCACTCGCCATATAATGCCTGCGTGGTCAAACCAGCTGCGTTGCGGAGCGAGCGAACCAACGACAACGACGACGAGGTCACCAGGTATTCGCCGTACACAACGTGGCAAAAGCAATGCAAGAAATAGCTTTGAGAAGTAATGATGAGTCATGATTGTTCCGGTCGTTTGCTGTCGTTTTTGGTCAAAGTCCCTGAATCCTGGGAAAGTATCCTTGCCTGCTAGCAGGACACAAACACACTCTTACATACATACGATCAAACCTCGCACGGCGATTGACTGATTGGCTGGCTCTGTTCCCGTGGCAATCGCTATTTCGGTCCTTGCAGCATCCCAGAAGCTTCGAAAAGCCAGTTTTGAGCCAGCCTCGCCAACATCGCTATGAAGTGTTATCGTGGTGAAAGCGTTCATTGCCAGTATAAGCGTCTTTGGCACTGTGTAGGCAATGAACTTATCGATATTCTTATCTGCACAGGTGTCTTACAATGATACTATTTTTCTTGTGTGTTTTAAGACGTGAAATTTATTTTTGAATGCCGCCAAACACGGACGCCACATTATGAGCGTGTGTCGCCGTTTTGTAAAAAACAAAATCCCTGTATACCAAAAACATTTTTTTTGCGAATTTTTATAGGTTCACATAATGAATAGAGATGTAAAGGAGAAACGACTCCTTCCGTGGACCAAATTGGCGCTAGTTTCCCAGGATCCTGGGATTTTAGTTTTGGTTGCCGTGAGCGCAACCGACGTAAATGTATGAACCGCTGTGGAGCGATATTTTCGCGCAGTTACCACTTAGAATGAATGCCAGGCGTTTATAACGTCTGAAACACGCGTTAATTTTTTTTTTTCTTCTTACGGAATGGTAGTTGCAGAAAAATATATTACAAAAAAAGAAAAAAAAAAAGAGCAAAAGTCGAGCAGCGTTCACCCCCTCAACTCGCAGCAGTCAGAACAAGGTGCCACGCGACCTCGAGCCGATATCATAAGGCGCCAAAGTTTATCATAGTCACGCGTTGAGTTTCACACAGGGTAAGAACTTATGGTGCTTCAGCCCCCTCTCCCCCCTCCCCCTTTCCCCCCCCAAAAAAGAAAAAAATCTTGGCTACGCTATTGGCTCCGTACATTGTCAGGTTTCGGCCGTTGTCTTTCATCGCAGCAGCAGCGATTGGATTGAGCCACTACCCGAATGCTCGTCGAGCTTTTGATTATCACGAGCCCTAATCGATGAGGCGCCTCATTCAAATCTCGTCAGTCGGGGGACCATACCGACACTGCGGCCTTTCGAGCTACATTTCGCGAAAGGGAAATAAAAAGAAAAAATAAATAAATAAAATGACGCTCTCTTTTATTCTTAAAACTAAATTGCAACAAAGTTTGTTGGTCAGTGGCGTAGCCCGTAATGTTACACACTAGGGAGTTTTCGTAGACAGCGCTACCCCCCTCCGCTAAGCGTTCCGCAACGAAGAAGTCGCTACTACGCCTGCGCGCCGATAGCCTTGACTGTGGAGTTTCCGCTATCGTAGCGGATTGCGGAGGGCCTTGCGGGATGGAGAAAACGATCTACGAAAACTCCCTATCAACTCCACTCCCCGTCGTCGCACCACAGCGGTGGCGCTGTTGTCGGCCCTGCGCTTGCGCAGGAGCTTCCTCTGACGCGCATTTTTGGTTCTGGCGTAGGCAAACGCGGGACTGTTACTAAACGGCGAGTTGGTGATATAAAGTGAAAACCGAATATCGTTTCACCGCCCCTTTTTGACGCTACATTTTGACCGCCTTTGAATCGTCGCCATTTGCTACGATCACCTGGCTTTGGCTTTGGTTTGACCATCTGTTTAATGTAGCGTGCGGTGCGGGCCGTTGACGGCGTCTTCCGGGCTGCTGCCTGTCTAGTCATCTGTTAAAGTACGATGACCACCTGTTCGTATTCAGCGTGTGCCCTTCAAGAGGGGTCAAAACCCCTCTTAAAGGACAGTTATTTTTTATTTTTTTAATATGCTTGCATTGAAGTGGTTTTGAATGTTTGGGGCTTGCAGCTCAATTATCGAATAGAAATAAAGTAATCACGAATAACGTAGCTCTAGCTCTCTTTTAAACATCCTGCCCAGGACCCCCCAAAAGTTTCACTTGCGCTGGTGTATACCTAATAATTTCGTAGAGATTTTTTTTTTTTTTTTAAATTAAGTGTAAAGTTGGATAGATTTGTTAAAAAGCCCCTAAAAAGAAAAGAAAAAAAAATTGTTTGAAACAGTCTGATTGGGACATCCGTTCTAAGAAATAAATTTTACGCAAAAAAAAAATTTAGAGCAATATTGACGGCGAGAGGTTTATTCGAAATTCTGCGCGAAAAGTTAATGACGTCACGGAATGGTCATGGGAAGAGCCCGCGCCGCCCTTTCGGCGCTATTTTAAAGGCCTTCTTGTGTTTTTCCAGAAGGTCTATTGAAAGCACACCGCGTTCATGAAAAAAAAAAAAAAAAAAAATGACATTAAAATTGTAATAGTTCTTAAATTTTTATTGATCGTTGTTTTCTGCGATTTGTTCGTGTGTGTTTTTCTTTTTTAATCTTCAGGTGTTTTTACCGTACGTCCCTTATATATATATATATATATATATATATATAAAACGAACATAAGTTCTGGACTTGTAGTATAACTAGGATATCTTGTTTTCGGAGTTTATTTTTTGCTGGGAACTTGGGGTTTATGAAAATTCATTTTCGTAAAAAATCGAAATTTTCTCAAATTCAGAGTTAAAAGTTCACTGTACACCCTTTTCTTTTTAATTCAAGAACGAAATCTAGATAATGTTTGGACGCGAACGTAATTTAAATTTTCGCAGAACTCGCTGGTATCGAATGATATTTCTGCTGCAGCATTTGGCATCGACGCCCTTACCAGCGGTAATACAAACTGTCCCGGAACAAATATTGCCACTAAGTATTTGTCTCAATAACAGTCGATATTTCGAAAATAACTAAAGTCCTGGACTAGTTGCTGG